TGATTGGTCAATTTCTTACTCTTACTTCTTACTCCGTGTGTTGTAGACGACGCAAAAAGGCCCGTCTACAATACACGGAGTAAGAAGTAAGAGTAAGAAATTGACCAATCACAGTCGAATGTGAGAAGAATAATCGACTGTGATTGGTCAATTTCTTACTCTTACTTCTTACTCCGTGTATTGTAGATGGGCCTTAAAGTCTTGTGTCTACAATGTTAGAAATCGATCTGAGACCTCGAATGAAGAAAGAATTGACCAATCACAATGGTCGTATGATCAAGTTATTCAAATGTGATTTGTTAATTTTTTCTCTGGCCGAGATCTCGAACTGATTTCTAGCATCGTGGACACGGGCTTAAGGCTGAAATCAAACTAAAGGTGCCTTTTCACGCCGACCCTCGACGCTCATTTTCAGCGTCAAAACAGGTCACATGATCAAAATTGACGAATACCAAGCGTCAAATTTGATCACGTGACCTGTTTTGACGCTGAAAATGAGCGTCTAGCGTCAGCGTGAAATCGCACCTTAAAGCATTGGAGATTGAAAGTGTCTTTTCATACTGACGCTCGACGCTCATTTTCAGCGTCAAAATAAGTCACGTAATAAAAATTTATGAATATCAAATATCAATTTTGATCGTGACCTATTTTGACGCTGAAAATGGGTGCCGTCGAGCGTTAGCATGAGAAGGTACCTTGAGATTAGATTGAAAATTGAAATTTGACTAATGAGGACAAAGGAATTTTAGTTCTTAATAGGTCGGTTCGCGTTGCATGAAATCCCCAAATATTTTTGCACTTAAGATGAGATAGATATATATTTGAAAAGAGAGAAAACAAAGATGCCGTGTTCAAAAAGTGCGGGCAACGCGAACAGACCTATTGTTTGGATTGATCAAATCTCATTAAGGGCCTCTTTCACCAACACCGATTAACGTAATCGACCAATTAATCCATTGGAATTGACCAATCGCATCTATCGTCAAACAAAATGACAAATGAGATTCGTCAATTTCGATGGAATAATCGACCGATTAAATCGGGAGGATCCCGTTTGCGTACAATCTCAATTGTACACACCACTCATATCAGTTGGTGCCTAGTAATTTTTCACTGCTTTACCAATGAGAATATTTTATTTTTAAATTAGCCAATTAGCGACGCATGTGTGCAATCGGAGTCTTCCCATTAAATCGAAGTTGGTGAAAGAGACTCTAGGACTGTTCGCGTTGCATGAAATCCCCAAATATTTTTGCACTTAAAATGAGATAGATACATATTTTGCTTTAAAAAGAGAGAAAGCGAAGATGTCGAGTGCCAAAAATGCAAGCAACGCTAACAGACCTATTGATTGTCTTGAATGATTTTGATCTCAATCTTGGGATCAATTCATGAAATTTTTTTCTTAAGATGAAAAGTAAAAAGTGAAAAATTTCATTAATTTTAATGGTTAAAATGTTCACCTTTCACTTTCCATCCTAAGGATAAAGTTTCATAATTGATACCCTTCTACGTAGTTTAATTGGGCGGGCTCCGATTGTACCATCGCATATTGCACACATGTATCGCTGATTGGCCAATTTAAAAATAATATAATTTCATTGGCAAAACAGCGAAAAATTGGGAGGATCCCGTTTGCCTGCAGTTCTGATTGTACACAACACTCATATCAACTGGTGCCTAGTAATTTTTCACTGTTTTGCCAATGAGATTATTTTATTTTTAAATTGGCCAATCAGCGATACATGTGTGCAATATGCGATGCAATCGGAGCCCTCCCGAAAAATTACTAGACACCAGTTGATATGAGTGGTGTGTACTATCACTATCAGAACTGTAAGCAAACGGGATCCTCCCGTTTAATTTCGATCTTGGAATGTCGGAATCCGTAAAATTCCCTAGCCAACACATACGATACAACTTAAATTTACCATTACGATTTGCGTTTCTGCTCATGGACGATTGCTTCTTTCCGGTTGTGAATCGCACGCGGACACGATGGGTTTGTGTTACAAGCTTCTTATTATTATTTTAAAAATTATTAGTTTAGAAATAACGATTATGAAGAGCCAAAATCTTTCGATAAAAATTCTGTCGATATGTTTTGCTCAACAATAAATGCATAAGTAGTACCTTTCTTCTTGATGCGATTATGTAGCGTGCTTCAAGTATCGAGAGCGTGTAGTAATTATTGTCAGATGTGCTAATACTGATAATAATTACTACACGTAGTATCGTGTTATTGGCACACAGTAATTTTATCTCATATTGAACGTGTAGATATTTAATATTTTTCCATGTAAACAGTTTTCTTTATGTGCTTAAAAAAATATAATGTAGAACATAACCTCATTGTAAGATTTTCTTTGCGTTGTAGGTAAACCAAGAGGTCTTCGTACGGCGCGTAAGCACGTGAACCACAGACGCGAGCAGCGATGGAATGATAAGGACTATAAAAAAGCACATTTGGGAACCAGATGGAAGGCTAATCCCTTTGGCGGTGCCTCTCATGCTAAAGGCATTGTCTTGGAAAAAGTGTAAGTAATAATGTCCATGTGATAATTTTAATAACATTTACATGTGTGTGATTTGTTGTAACTTAAATATATTACGATACTTATATACATAATTATGATATTTATTGATATTTTATCATTTGATAGAGGAGTAGAAGCAAAACAGCCAAACTCTGCCATTCGCAAATGTGTCAGGGTACAGCTGATTAAGAATGGAAAAAAGATTACAGCCTTTGTGCCAAGAGACGGTTGTCTTAACAACATCGAGGAGAACGATGAAGTTCTAGTGGCAGGCTTTGGTCGTAAAGGCCATGCCGTCGGTGATATTCCTGGAGTACGATTTAAAGTGGTAAAGGTTGCAAACGTTTCTTTACTTGCTCTTTACAAAGAGAAAAAGGAACGACCTAGATCTTAAATTATCAGCCAGAAATGTATTTGACAAATATAAAATACATAAGTTAAAAACTTAAATATTCTATTTTAATGTTATTATCAAAGTACCTTCCTCTATGCCATCTCTTTAATACTTATGCGTTTAGGATTTATTTATATAAATAGACAATTTTATTCTTTTGTATATCAATATTTAGAATGTTATAAATTACACTAAACAATTATGGACCTACATACACAATTATACATATAAAATCATTCATTTATTAGATTTGTGAGTTCCTCATTACAAATGACTATATCTTCTATGATTGCGTTTAAAGGTGCGACAGTCTTCGGTAATTCCTTTGCTAATTTTACATTAGATAACTCTTCTCTTGCTTGTAATACCTGTAAATGATTGGAAATACATTTTGTAGAAAATAATGAAAATAATATGCAGTAATGTGGATAAACTCATACCTTTTTCAAAGAGGAAAAATCAGAGCATATACTTTTAATGTTTGAACTAATAGAATCAGAAATATCTTTGTCTAAATTTCTGACTTTCACTGGCCAAGATGAAACTGTATGAAATGTTTCTATAAATCTTTCTTTTTCTTTGTCAAACAGTGCAGTCTGTTCTTCGTTATCCAGTCTATCATCAATCTATATTAATTTTTACATAAAATATGAGTATAATTTATATATATTATTTATAATTTTATTAATATAATTCTGTTTTACCTCTACGCATAAGTCTTTAGGCATATTAATTTTAATTTCTTCGCGATCATTATTTAATATTTCTCTCTCGCTCTTTTCAAAATATTTAATAGCTTCTGCATAAATTATTTTTGGTTTAATGGCAGAAAGAGAAGATGCCTGATCAGTATCATTAGTGCACAACTAAAAATGTTTAAAAAATGTGTATTTGAGTAATATTATTAGTATACATTCATAAAAATAATATAATTATTCAACATTACCATATCTTTACATACCTTAAAAATATCTGCAAGTGCTCCTTCTGTTTCATTTGTACTTGTAATAGGTTTTACATATACCTTTCTCATAAAGTCTAGCAATAATTTTAAAGTTGGCAGTTGTTCCTTTAAGGAACATTTACCCTAACATAAGTATTTTTTTATATAAGAGCAATTATGTCAATATAATTATACAGCATAATATATCTATATTTTATAAACAAACCAGCAATACATCCTTGTTGTTGCAGATTCCAATCCGAGAGTAATATTCAAACACCTGATCTACAAAACGACATACATATACTTTCCAACACATTAATGTCACATTTTTAAATATAATTTTTTATTGCATGTATAAATTCACTGAAAATGATAATTGATAATATAATTTGTAATTTAGCTGTTGAATATATGTGAAACATTAAATTGTATAAATAAAGTAGAAATACCTTCCAAAGCAGAATTCTTCAGCTTTCCCAAATGAGCGACAATTGATGGTAATTTCTCTGTCAGAAGCCAGGAAAGTAAACAAATCCGATTTTCACCACTGAGAATCGTTGCCTCCAAATCTTTCGACTCCGTATTTGTAATGTGCGGATATCGTAAATGTAACAAAGTATCGTATATGCTTGTCATAACATCATTCACGTCATTCATAGTAGCAAATTATGAGATACACATAAAACTTGGAGAAAAATTTAACACCTGCTGGAAATAGAAACTGACAATTTCGCAATTATTTCGTTTCAGATATTCATTTTTCACTATTTTACAAAAAATCATTAGACCGAGTAATATTTGTTAAAAAAAGATGTTTGAAGTTTCAAACAATAAACGTAAGTAGTAGAGTTAAGCAAGATGGCAGACTCATAAGCATTTCATTAAAGAGCATCTAATAAAGTCGCGACATGAGAAAGTCGCGCGTTGATTGGTCCGCCATGTTTAGAAATTCCCGCCCTATATTTGAATATCTATATTCGTGTTACTTTTAAATTTCAACAATATAATTAGAACTAGATATTTTAAAGGTTATTAACAAATAAATTTCTTACCTTACGTGTCGAAATGATGCATACGAGAAGAATTGTTTAGTTGAATATCTTTTTTTTACAAAATTATTTTGAAAAATTAAAGATTTAATTATGTATGTATTTTAAAATGAGATTAAAATTACAAAAGTGGAAAAGTTCACTGGAATATTTATAATTTCATTATTTTTAGTACCTAATAAATTTACATGATAAATTTACTCAGTTTTGTAACTTTCACACGTTTCAAGATATACAGTCAATATTCTGGTACGTAAAGAAAACTAAATAAATTTTTTTTATACTTTTAACATTTATTTTACAATTATTGTGCATTACCATCGATTATGAGCGCATTAGAGTGAGTGGATGCTCTTTTATCATTTATTAAATTATGTAATACAATTGAACCCCAGCTGAAACGAACCAGACCAACTGTTAGTGCTGAGTTTAAATTCCACTCGAGTGTCATCCAGGGGTGTGTTCTAAAACTGAACTATAGGCCTGTTCTTTTTGGCCGAACTTTTACATCAGTTCATCTTTCTTCCTTTTCTCTTTAGGAGAAAGAAAGATGAACCGGTGCAAAAGTTCAGTCAAAAAAAACAGGCCTATTATCAACTCCGAGTATCTTTTATCCTTGTCCAACATTCAGTGAACACAAGGATAAAATGATACTTGATTTGACAAAAGTCGAGTTTTGGAACGCATCCAGGTGTCACTTCATCCTTGTTGTTTATCGTATATTAGACAAGGATGACATGATACCTGGGAGCACACAGGTGGGAATCTGGACACGCCTTAGTGTGTATATTTCAAAACGCACCCATCAATAATGGGTGCATTCAATACTACGACCACTTACTGAGCGCTCAGTGAGCTCTTGCATCTGATTGGCACATATTCCGTTAGAACTAAAAATATAGACCAAACAGATCCAAGAGCTCACTGAGTGTTCAGTGAGCGGTTGTAGTACTGAATGCATCTAATGAATGACATATGAACTAAACGAATTTAATTTTACAAGATCAACATTTTTCTCTTTACTTATGTTCTCTAGGTTTGAAACGAAATATATACACAGGTGTTCTTCTTAAATCTAAAATACTGATTGGATGATTTGAAAGAATACACCAATAACAGCGAGCGCTCACTCAACTGTTGAGTCCGCTGAATGCGTCGAAAGCAAGAAATCTGTGTAAATGCAAATATAAAACGAACGTACTTCAAATGTTACGGATTGAAGTATGCCTGATTGGCGCAGCCAGTCAGGTTCGCTATGTCCCTTCCACTTCATTATTCCGTTCTCCAAGTAGAGATTTCGCGGCCGGTCCGGTGCTCCGCTCCGGTCATTCTTTTCGTTTGCACGATTCTATGGAGAGAGGAATAAGAATAAAAATATTTTTGTGAAATAACGTCTTCTGTCATATCGAGGTCGATCTGGTGCGTGAAAGACGATCGTAAAAATATCTCGATAACTCGGAATTATCTGTAATCGTCGAAGATGCATCGAGGTGATTGGGAATCGTGTGTTTCTCTGGTTTGTTGATTTTATGATACCGCATAAAATATCATGGCGTCCAAGGGCCATGTGGACAACACAGTGAATGAACGTCGGCTGCGACCGATTTACGGTACGTATACTCGCATCGATGATGTTCGTATCTCAAATTCGTCCTGTGCACTCCCGCTGGACCGCTCGGTTGCGACTTTGGGACCGGTGACGAGGTTATATAATGACACCCGGTATGAGGTTTCTCTTTGGATTTCAGACTGGTTGGATAATGGGAACAACAAAAAGGCCCTACAGGAGGCAGACAAGGTACTAAAGAAGCATCCGACTAACCAATGCGCCAGGGTACTCAAGGCTCTGGCCTTGTTGCGTATGGGCAAAGAAAATGAGTGTCAGGTCATTATGGATAAAGTACGCTCCGAGGTACCCTGTGAGGATTCCACCTTGCAGGCGATGAGCATCTGCTATAGAGAGATACATCAACGTAAGTTCTTAGCTCACCTTCTGATTTGGAACATAAAGATTATTTTTAAGTTTAATTATATGACGATTATATCAATTTTAAATTTACACATGCAGCAGACAAAGTCAGTGAGCTTTACGAAGCCGCTGCTAAGGCTGATCCAAACAACGAAGAGCTCCTGACGCATCTCTTCATGTCATACGTTCGCCTCGGCGATTATAAAAAACAACAAGTAGCTGCTCTTAATTTATATAAACTAACTTATAAAAACCCATATTATTTTTGGGCTGTTATGAGTATAGTAATGCAAGCTATTCATGCTGATCAGAAGTTAGCGAAAGGAGTTATTTTGCCTTTGGCAGAAAGAATGGTTAGTGCATTCATTGTTGTTTACTGTTGCTATTGCGATTGCATATGAAATTATAAAGGGTTTATTAGTTTGTACCAAGTGAACTCTAAAATATACTGGAAAGCTTACAAGGAGGAAGAGAGAATATTCTCGATGAAAGAGCCGAGAGAGACAATTGACATAGGATTATTTTCTCAGTTTTGTATGTGTAATCTGCATTGAGTAGATCGAGATAATAGAACATAGTACTTAAAGAAACAAAGAATATAATCCTCTGCTAGAAGTTCTTTGTCGGCTCGGCTGTTTTCACAGTGGTAAGCTTTCCAGTTATAGAGTTCTCTGGTTTGTATGTAAATGAATATTATAAAGATGACTAAAATGATTTTTTCTATGAATACATTAGGTCCTAAGACTAGTGAGAGAGGGAAAGATAGAAGCGGAACAGGAGGTGCAACTTTATCTGATGATTTTAGAATTACAAGACAAAAATGAAGAAATATTAAATGTACTGTCTAGTCCTTTAGCTTCATATGTCTCATATGTACCTCAACGAAAGGCTACATGTTTATTGAAGCTAGAATGTTTTCCTGAAGCTGCTAATGCATATCGCGCACTTATTGAAGAGAAGTAAGATTATTTTTATTAATATTTTTTTTTACTATTTTATACAATATGTTTATAATATTTTGATATAAATAACTTTATACCTGTATCATTTCAAACTATTATGTTTATTACATAGCATCGACAATTGGGGTTTTTATCAAAATTATCTTTCGGCGGCCTTAAAGTTTCAACGTCTGACAGAATGCTTGGATTTTTTCAATCATATTATTAATATGTCCGAGAAAAAAATTCGCGCGCCATACTTGGCCCGCTTAGAATTATTGAAGCGATGTCAGACTGAGGATCTGCAATGTAGTATGACTTCTATGAATTTTATGCATCAATATTTTTCTCAATTTGGAGAAAAAGGATGTGTAGTTGGAGATTTACGATTGTATTTAAACCTACTCACACCCAAATCCAAGTTCGAATTATTTGAAAAGGTAAAGAGAATAGAATCCAACATACTTTTATACATATATGTATATATTTTTTAAATGTATATAATGAAAAATTAATCTTAAACTATAATATTTATGTTTAAATGTAAAACAAATTAAGAAATATTTAACAAATATGTTTTTTACCATTACCATTAATAAAATGATTATTGTAATTGCTTAATGCAATATTATTTATGATATTGCAGATTGAGGAAGATATTGGTATTGCACCAAACGAGTTTCCAACTACAGTACAACAAATGCAGAGGCATATTCATTTGGAACAATTACGGCGTATTTGTGGCTTCCACCATCCTCCCTTGGCAGATATAGATAAACAAGAACAATTGATAAAGCGATTATGCGATTTGTATGAGAAAGGCAATGAATTGTGTCCAATGCAAGATAGATTGTCAACTGATTTTTGTCCAGCAGATCCATACATTCTATTAGCTACGCATTTATTACATCAATTATGGGTTGATACTAATGATGCGTCTTTTCTTTATAGGTAATATAATTTTTTTCCATTATATATGACAACAAAATTAATTGATATTAATGAAAAAATGCTAATGGCATTTTGAAAACATGCACATTTTTAAAACAATGGACTTACAGGGCAATGTCATTATTGGAACATGGTCTTCAGTCGAGTCCTGTAAATTTTCACATCAAAATTTTGCTTGTGCGTATTTACTTGGAAGCTGGTTTAGTGGTTGCAGCTGATCATGCATTTACATCACTTGATGTAAAACACCTTCAATTAGATTCACTAGGTTATCTTCATGCGCCGCTTCTCGCGCCTCTCGGTAACTTGCCTCTGGCCTCAACAACTCTTGATCATACAGCGAAATTTTTCATAGCCAACTATAAGGATGTATGTGTTTTCAAGTATACTTACAAAATTTAAGGAAAATGGATAAGATTTTTGTGTCTAATTCAAAAATTTTATAATTATTTTTCTAGAGTGCGGATCACTTAACACTTGCGTACAAATATGGAAGTTTTATAAAAATTCAAGATTTTGTGGAGTTAAGGGAACGCCTAGAAAATTCATTTCATTTTGTTATGACAACTGTAGATAAAATGCTCCTCGATTTGTGTTGGGCTGACAGTACTGCTTCTTTGTTCTCTACGTTGAATATACATATGCATATGCCATGCATACAACCTCATCTCGATTCGATTAGATTGGCATCTTTACGAGATAATCGTGATTTGGAGGTATGTTAATGAATCGCAATATAATTCGAAGAAATCTAAAGTTCTGATTTAATATCTGTGATAAATTTAATAATAATGTTAAATAGGTTGTTCGTGGATGGGAACCAATTAATCAGAACGAGGATGATCCAAGAATGCAGGAGGAGACACGCATATGTATGTTAAAATTACTTTTGGCAAGAAATGCCA